AGTCTGCTTCTCCCTCTGACCCTCTTCCCTCTCGTGCTCTCTCTCTCTCATTCTCTCTCTCTCAAATAAATAAATAAAATCTTTAAAAAAAAAATAGGTCTTTTTTTAAAAAGCCCTAATGCTGGCAGTTCCCAAACTGTGCTCCAGAGTGCTCCAAGGTGGCCCTGTAGGATATTTCAAATGTTTGGGGAAAACACAGACAAACCTTACATGTCAGATACTCGCAAACTACTAGTTTGATATAATCACAAATGCAGCATTACATGGTGTTACATTTCTTTTGATGACAGAGTAGGTCATCAAAGGTTTTAATGAAGCCAGGTTTTGGCAGTCCCGGTGACTAAAAAAAACCCCCAGTACCACAAGAAAATCAGTATGAAACAAGAATGCAGGTGGTTGTGTCAAATCTGTTTCCAAGGTTGAGAAGTCATGCGATTCCCAAAAGGCACACACATCTCATTGGTAACCACAATTATTACTTAACAATGAAATAAAAATACTTTTTCTCTCAATTTGTTTATTTTCTCCAAACAGCTACTAGTTTGTTAGGCCATAAATACTTACTAAGCAGTTAGGACATAACTGCTTAAGTCTGAACGGAGGGATTTTTTTTTTTTTGGCCATAGGGGCACTATGAAAAAGATCACTGAGATGCCAAGGGCAACATCAACAGAGAATTTGGGAAATCTGCCACAGTGGCAAGAACACTAAAAAAAAAACCTTAAGGACTAGTCTTTGATTGCACCTGTTACCCAGCACATAAGCCCATGGCAGGTCACTCACTTTGCCTGATTTTTCCTCAATGGCTAAATAGGGACAACACTACTACTCTGAATATGTGAATACCCTGCAAACTGAAGCACAACATTCAGGCTGAACAGAAAAAAAAAATCTTACACATTTTCACAAGAAAAATCAAATAGTTAGGGTTTATAAATTATCACTTGAAAAGCAGGATCTCACCTTTCTGAAATCTCCTCTAGTAACTCCATAAGTTTAGCAGCCAAACCAAGGCGTCGAAATTCCGGAGCAACAGAGAGAGCTGTGACGTGCCCGTGCCATTCTTCCCTAGCTACTGAGCCTTCCGCTTTACCCATGACTGCCAACAGAAGATTGCACTCAGGAATTAAACACACGGATTTATACATGAATACAGAATGTTGGCACATTTTTATGATAAAGGAAACTAATGACAAAGTTTTAATTTTTAAGTAACACGTAAAGTCATCTAGCTAATGGTTAATAGTGCTCTTATTTGACTTTCACTTAGAAAGGTTTCTTTTAAAAAAAAAGGAATGAACTAAAAACACAACTAATTTTGAACACAGAACCAGAATATCTATTTTTTTTAAATATCTACTTTTCATGTAGGTATGTATGTGTACCCAAAACTGAGATAACCCACAGCTCAAATTTTCATTAGTAATGCTACTAATTCAATGGAGATGCTACAATTCCTATGTACCAAATAAACGATGTAGAAATTTAACATAAGCATAGAATCAAAGATCCATGAAGCCTGAGGTCATGTCTGTCTGTAGGCCTGAGGCCTAGAGCACAATGCCTAAAATGTAGAAAGCATCGTCGAGCTGTCAGTGGTTAAAGGAAATAAAATTATAGGCATCATGATTATATTTCCACCTCTGCAATCAATCTAAAACAATCAGTTGAAACCTATATTAAAATCTCAACTGCCTACCCAAAAAAGTTCTAGTGGTATACTTACTATAACCCATTAACTCTCCACCAGGTGCCTCTGCAACAATGAAGTACTCTGGCCAGTGGGCAAGGTACTGTAGGTAAAAAGGAATCCCATACTAGAGTCTCGTTAAGGAGTGTGGAAAGTAACGGGCAGTACAAAGTTCTTCATAAAAGAAATACTGTGAAGAAAGTTCCTTTGAAAAGTACATTGTTACTTTATCCCCTGCTCTATATATGTGTGATTGCTATATTCATGTCAGTACATTAAATATTTAGGTTAGCACTAAATAATTTGTAACAAAATTGCCTGAATAAAGAACTTCAAAAATATGAGTGGCGACACCATCTAACAGCAGAGAGCCAGAGTCTGAAGTTCCATCATCTGTGTCCATACTGATCACACTGTATCTAAATCTCGGCACAGCACTTATTATCACTGGATATTGTTTACTATCTCTCTCCCTTTTGGATATGAATGTCATGTTCACTCTATCCCTGGTGCTTGGCACAAAGTAGATGTTCAATACATTTATTTTTCCATAATTGCACTAGAAAATTAATGACTAGTTCCTACTTTAGCTACAGCTGTGTGGCTGTGAAAGTAACTTTAAAAGTTAAGCACTTCCAGAGTCAACAGTTACCTAGTGTTTCCCCTGCACTGATTCAAATTCTCTCTTTCTGGTACTACAAATAAAAGCTGACTTAAGAGTGAAAGCCTGAATAATTTGCCCATTACGAAACTCTTCAATCCTGGCGTCCTTACTGACATGTGCTCATTCTTCTATTTCTTCTTAGTGTAAGCTTGCTGATGCAATTCTATGAGGGGCCACCACCAATCACACAATTTTTTTTAAGGTTCTGTAAAATCTTCTCAGTTGTAAACTCTTCAAACTCTCCTCTGAACAATAGCCACTGTTTTGAGCACTCTTCAAACATGACCCATAACAGGGCAGGCCGGCCAGTCTTCTTGCCACTCAGCCACCAACACACACCGTTACCGCCTCTCCTCCAGGAGGAGCCCAGATGTCGGCTCAGCAACTACCAAGCCCTGGCAGGTTACTTTCAAACATGGCCTCACCTGGATTATGGGACTTTTACTGTAAATCTGAAGTGTCAGTGGACACACACGCTATAACTTGATTCGCATCCTAATACTTTACCTTATTATACAGTGAAAATTTTTGTGTCATTCAGAAGTCTTTTTTTTTTTTTTAAACATGGAGGTCTCTTCAAAAAGTCAATTTTTGAAATATAAAAAACTTTTGGTGATTTTTTTGCTTTTTCACTCAGCTTTATTTCTGATATGTACCCCTGTCATTACCTATACCTATAATTAATCTTTAATAATGTACAGTACACTCCGCTGGGTAAACAATTTAAATTTCCTATCTCCTGGCGAGGGACATGTGGGTTATTTTCAGTTTCTCAAAAATCTTTTTAAATTTCTCATGAATACAGTATACTAACCATTTCCTTGTGTGTGAATGCTATTCCAAATTTTTAATATAATTCCGCAATAAAATTTTTTGTAATGACATAACTCGGGTTAACAAACATTTCCTATAATGGGACAGACAGTAAATATTCATGGCTGGGTGGACCAGCTCTCTGATGCAACTACTCTAACCATGAAAGCCATGGACAAAGCTACAGACAATATGTAAATTATTCAGTGTAGCTGTGTCCAATAAAACTGTATTTACAAAAATAAAAATAGGCAGTGGACCAAATTTGACCCATGCACCTTTGTTTGACAATTCCTCCCCTAACTGACTCTATTACTTTTAGCTTCTGGGAAATGGAATTACTTACTATGTATTACACTGCCAACGTGCCTTCCAGAAAGACTGCAGCAATTTATACTGTCACTAGCAATTTATAAGAATGCTCCTCTTACCCTCACCAGCATGAGTTTTATCATTTTTTTAATCCTTGATAATTTGATAGGTAAAGCATGGCATCTCATTTTGGTTTTAATCCACATAGCTTTTAACTGGTGAGACTGAACTCTTAATAATGTCACTGGCTTCTTATATGCCCTCTTTTGTTAAATTATCAGTTAATATTACCCTCCTACCCTGCAATGGACATGGAGTAAAAGCTAGAAAGCCACTGAGAATGTGGGATTGTCTATTAGTACAACATAACCCAGAGCACCCCAACTTCACACATCTTTGCCCATTTTTCAATGGGGAACATGATAGATAAAGCTAATTATTACCCCAAATCCTTTCTTAGTAACAAGCCCTAATTTAAAGCTGGGCTCATCCCCCAACTGTTACAGTTGGATGAGTGTGGCAGGGGCAGCTGCTGGTCAATGGGATACAGGAGGCCTGTGTGGTACTTCCTAAAGGTACCCCTGAAAGGGAAGGTCATTCTCACCTTCCCCTCTGTCGATCCTCCTGCCAGGAACATGGAGGTGATGCTGTTTGCTCGGGCAGCTATTTGGGACAGGAAAGCCAAGGCCACCCTGGGAGTGAGACAGTGGTTAAAGTGCACAGCCTGGTCACCGATGACTTCATGAAACCACCACAGACTGCTCGTCACCTCCAGGCTTCATTCACAGTAATAATCCATCTTGAAGTCACTGCTTTCGGCTGTATGGAGCCATACTTACTGCCCAGGGGCAAGGTAGGCAGGGGAGCTGCACTGCTGTAGATTTATGAGCCCATTCTGTTAGCAGCTTGTCAGGCAGATTTAAGACAACTCTTACCCCCAGTTCGTTTGGTTTTTTAAATTACTTTCAATGTTCCTTATGTTTCCTGGCCTATAAGTTTTAAAGTTTTTTGGTACACAAGTCTATTTTTTCTTTTGTTTGTCCGTGGTGTTCCTTACTCTTAGCCTTCATTTAACTTTTTTTTTTTTTAAAGGATACAGTTTCTGTAAGTGGATCCAAGTTACTAAAAGAAAGAAAAGAAATGTCAATAGTAAGCAGTGTTGACAAAACCAGTTTAAATAAGCCACTGAAACTAAAAACATGCACCAGGAAAACAAAACATGCCAAATCCACAACTTTAAAACCAACTTTAGGACTAAGGAAAATAGTGTAAGCTACGGAATGGCCAAACTGAGCCATCACAGCCTCTATAAAGATACCTATAAATTTTTATTTAACTGTTTCTTCTTTACAAGTTACTTTATAGTTAATATGTCTGCATCAAAACCTTCCATTGTCGAATTGGCAATAAGTCATTAATGGAACTGGGGCCCAACAAGGCATGTAAATCACAGACAGAAAGTAAGACTAGCTCCCGCAGCATCCGAGAGCAGTCCCTTCCTCCTGTGTCTGGGCCTTCACCTGCTCAGTCTGGGCTCTCTCACCACTCAGTGTTTGCTGCCCACTCTTCTACATTCTCACTTCCTCTCCCCCACCACCCCATCCCTTAACTTTTGGAGGAAGACTCCTGCATCTGGCTTTGGTGCTGCCCAGCACCTGTCTCACCAGCATATCTGATCACAATACTCCTGAATCAGCAGTTCTTAAAATGCACCTTTGCGGCCAGCTGCAAAGAGCTCTGCCCCTCACTTTCCTATTCAATTAACGGAACCACTATTTTGCCAGGCTCAAAACCAGCCACCCACAACTCTTCCTCTTGTATATCCAGTCAGATTCTTCCTTGGGACCCTTACCAAGGCACTTCTCTAGGCCAGTAGTTCTCAAATTTTTTGGTTTCAGAACCCATTTACACTCAAAAATTACTGAGGACCCCAAAAAACTTGTTTATGTAGGTTATATTTACTGATATTTAAACTTTCTAAAATATTCACTCATTTTAAAATAACAAATTATATGTTAATATGAATAACTTTTTTTTTAAACCAGAAGTCATTCTACTTTTTTTTTTTTTAAAGATTTATTTGACAGAGAAAGACACAGCGAAAGAGGGAACACAAGCGGCGGGGGGGTGGGGAGAGGGAGAAGCAGGCTTCCTACTGAGCAGGGAGCCTGATGTGGGTGGGGCTCAATCCCAGGATCCTGGGATCATGACCTGAGCCGAAGGCAGATGCTCAACGACTGAGCCACCCACGCACCCCGTCACTCTACTTTCAAGAACACAATTTATCGACAAGAAAGGCACTGTTTTAACAATTTTACAGATCTTTGTAACGTCTGGCTTAAGAAAGCTGGATTCTCACATCTGTCTGTTATGCTTGGTATTGCAAGTCACACAACTGAAAACTCCACTGTGCACTTGTGAGAGAATGAAAAAGGCTTAAAAACCCATCTTGGTGATACCCTGAAAATCACTCTGACTTTGCAAAAAGAAGCTTGAAGAGCCTTGGCCACACCTGGACAATCACTGCTCCACCGTGTGGGAATACAGTCTCCCACACTTCTCAAGGACTACTTTATAGCCTCTCATCTTGCCTCAACTCTCCACAACAGGCCACCCCTTCTCAATCTCAGCTGCTTCCTATTTCACACAGAAAATATACAACAGTAGGAAGAAACCTTCACCAGGGTCCACCATGGAACCACACACCTACAAGCATTTGCGCCCCGCTCTACTTGCTCTCCTGTAAACATGCCTGGAGTGCTGGTGGGCAGATCCACACCCTCTCACTGCCCAGGCCCCCGCTCCCGCAATTCTCTTCTCTCCTGGGATAAATGTGCAGACATGCTGCACACTTAACCATCAGCAGCTCCTGACAAGGCTCCCCACTCCCTCCACCTGAAATGCTCTCCTCACTCAGCTTCCAAGACCCACCATCAGCTTTTCCTCCCACCTCAGTGGGCCACTAAGGTCTCCTTCAACACCTGGAGCCTCATTTTTCCTACCCACATTCACTCCACCACTGATGTCACCTAGTGTCCTGGTTTTAATACCGTCTACATAGTGGGGGCCCCCCAAATTACTATCTTTAGTCCAGACACCTACCTGATTTTTGCACCTGGGTATCTCAATGCACTTAGCAGAGAAGCCCAACTCCTAGGAGGGTCTCTCCAAGACCTAGCCCTGTTCCCACACACTCACTCTGCTCTATCCACACTGGCTGCCTCCTCCAGTCAGAAACAGGTACCTGTACCCTCTCTGCCTGGAAGTTCTCCAGCTCCCAATACCCACAGGACTCAACTCCTCACCTCCCCTTCAGTTAAAACAAGGTTTTGCAGGCGCCTGGATGGCTCAATCGGTTAAGTGTCTGACTCTCGATTTCAGCTCAGGTCCTGATTTCTGGGTTGTGAGATAGAGCCCCGCATCAGGCTCTGACCTGAGCGTGGAGCCTGTTTAGGATTCTCGCTCTCCCTCTCTCTCCACCCCTCCCCCGGGCCCCTGCACATGTGTGCGCGTGTGCACGCTCTCTTAAAGTATATATATATATGTGTGTGTGTGTGTATATATATGTATATGTGTATATATGTATGGTTTTGCCCTGTCTACTCTTAAAACTTCAAGGCACACTATCCCTTCCCAGACCTGCACCTCCCAAACCCAAACCTTTGTCAAGTCATCATCTCTGGGCTGTTGCCAAGACGTCCTAAATGACTTACCTGCCTGATATACCGCCTTTAATTTCCTCACATTCCATATAACCCTGTGGTGAAGAGCTTGGGCTCTGGAGCACTGGTCCTTAAACAGCCGAGAATATGCATTTGCAAAGTGTTCTTGGTGGTCTGGGACCACTCTTAGAGAACCACTGTTCTAGAGCCAATCTCCTTGGATTAAATTCCTTGCTTCACCCACTCCCACCACAGGGTCTATCACCTGGGGCAATTCTCTTACACTCTCAGTACCTTAGTTTTACTCATACAAAAAATGGGGATAACGAGAGCACCTACTTCAAAGAACTGTGAGAATTAAATGGATTATTACAGTGCCAGTGCCCAGCAAGCACAGGGAGAGCTCAACACAAGTCACTTGAGTTACACTGCTCTGATTGAAAGAGGCCCATGAGAAAATTCTTCCCAACAATCAAGGCTGAAACCTCCGACACAGAGCAAAAGTCCAGTTTCACCAGCTGCTCTGATGACGCACTTAGAGAAACCCACTCCTCCAGTCACACCTATCTCCCACTTGTCTGGCCTCCAGCTTTCTCACCCTCACACCTGCTTCCTTCTCCAGAACTTCCTCATCACTGTCAACATTTTATCCACCCTTCAAGGCTCATCCCCTCTTTGAAAGGTTTCTAGCCAACTCCTCTCAAGTTCTTCCCATCCTCCTAACACCTGAATCCGAACCACTTGATCCTCAGTTTTCACACACTGCCCAGCTGTCTTTAAAGTGGATTTTGGACTGGTGGGTGGGTGGGTGAATGGACAGATATGTGAGGAAGTCAACAAAAGGTTAACTGTAGAATCTAGCCGATGTGTCTATAGGTGTTCAGGGTAAAATTCTGTCAACTTTTTAAATGTTCAGAAACTTATGTAATAAAATGTTTTGTTTTGTTTTAAAAAGGTACCTGCAAGTCACAAGTCCTGCCTTAACTCGGATTAAAAGAAAGTACACACAGTGGGCCTCCACCAGCATGTGTCCCCGCCCCAACTCTTCACACCTGAAAGTGGTTGTCCAGGCTGGATGCGCCGCTTCAGCAACGAAACGAACAAAAACCAACCCGGGCCAAGAAAGAAACGGCGGCGGTCGGTGCCACCCTCACAAGGTTTCACTCAGATACAAACGAACCAGCAGGTGGGCTGCACCACGTCCGTATTCTCAACAAACACTTGGCTGTTGACCTAACGACCTCTGCGGCCAGCACTTCCGTGCCCACCGCTGCGCAGGAGACGAAGCCGAATCACCCGCCCGGCCACTGGCCGCAGGCGGCAGTCCACTGCTGGACTCGGGCCGCTCCCCCACCTCCTACCACCCGCCGCGGCGCATCGGGACAGCCACCGCGACAGGCCGCCCGCGCGATGCCTCGGCTCCGACGAACACACAAGGATGCGGGATGAAGCTGCAGCGCCTCTGCCAAGGTCAGCAAGGAGGTCCGCACGTCCGCCCTGGCTCCGACACGGCGGCTCCCAGGGAGGAGCCAGGGGCGGCCGGCGGGGGTAGCTCCGCGGGCCCCGGCCCGGGAGAGGGAACGGGGCCACCAACGCCGGCCCAGGGCGCCTCACTCACATGTTGTTGAAGCGGAACAGGTCATCGCACGTGAAGGCCCGGAGCGTGGTCATCGCACCGCCGCCACAGAAGCCGGCTCAAGGGGATCGCGCGCCCGCCCCGCCGGAAGTTGTCCTGCGCGCTGTCGCGGCGGGGGCGGGCTGGAGAACTGCTTCCGGGCCACGAGTTGCTCGGCAACCACGGCAGCGACGTGACTCTCTCTGGCGGCGGCGTCTGGAATTGCAGGATCATTCTTGTAGAGTCACGGGGGTCTTACCCTTCAGAACCTCAAAACTCCTCCGTGGGAGTCCCTGGAGGAAGTTAAGTAGTGTGATCTCCCAGGAAGGCGACAGAAAGCTGCCAGGGGTTAGGAAATCACAGCAGAAAAGCGGGGTTCAGGAACACTTGGGTGGCCCGTAATAAATGGACCAGAATGGGAGAATTCATGATCCAGAGCTGCCTGTCCCAGTGATGCTGGCCCAGTATGTGATCTCAAATCTTCTACTACCACGTTTACAAACATAAAGAGAAAGGTGAAATGAATTGCAACAGTATATGTTATTTTACCCCGTATATAAAAAATATTCTCATTTTACATGTACTCAATTAAAAAAATATGGAATGTTTTACTTTTTTTGGACTAAGTCTTTGAAATCTGGTGTGTATTTTACATTTGCAGCATATTTCAATCTGGGAGGTGATTTGTCATCAGAAATACTTGTTCTGTATTTAGATTTCATCAAATGCATACATAAAATGTATAGTTAAAAAGTAGATTTGCATACTCAAATGGTTCCAATCATACTGAGCTTTCAAATAACTGAAAGGAACATCAGTTTTCACATTTAAACTTAATTAAAGTTAAATGAAGTTAAAAATTCCATTCTTCAGTAGCATAAGCCACATTTCTAGCACTCAATAGCCCTATAGGTAGTGGCTGCCCCACCATATTGGACAGCACAGGTCCAGAGGCTAAGAAATGTGCTGCCTGCATTTGGAGATTCTTTCACCTCACTCCTTTTCTAAGCAATTACTGTGGTGGTCTTGAGGGACACATTGCAGAGGTCAAACCAACCCACATAACTCTTCAAGAAGAGGTCTGAAT